GGTATTCATTCTCTACTGGTTTGTCCACTGAAGTATAAATTTTATAAGAGGCCCACTTTCCTGTCTTCATTATTACCCAGTTTCTATAATATAGCAAATATTCAACACATTTTTGAAAGGAATGGATGAATGAGTGATTTTTCCATATCTGGTTGTGAAGCTTCATTGGCGACAGTTTTTCAAACAATACATTTTCCAGCATCATAATCCTAAATTAATTCTGATGTAACTCATGAATACTTTTATAAAAGTAGTTTAAACTCAACCTCTGCTCACTCTCATCTGTAAAAGAGAATATTGTGTGTATGTTCAAATCATTAAACTAAACTATGACCTGTGAAGTAGTACAACTTGTATAATTCTTGCCTGATATGAATAAAGTCCTGTGCTAGTTCCCTAATACCACATATGCTGTGTGTGGGATGCTTGTAAATTAAGTACTTGGGAGATGGAGACAGGAAGACAAGAAGTTCAAGATCTTCCTTAGCTGCCTAACAAGTTCAAAATCAACCTGGTTTACCTGAGACCATCTTATAAAGAAAGAGATAATTTATATGAAGCATTAAATATGCAGTTTAGCAAAGGAAGCTTTGACTGATATTTATGTATATTCTGTGTATGAAGTTTGTATGCACGATGTGTGTGTGTGTGTGTGTGTGTGTGCATTCATATGACTCCAGATGCAGGCATGCCAAAGTATACATATTAAGGTAGAAAGACAATGTCACTGGGTGTCCTGATCTTTCACCATATTTGATACTGGGTCTTTTCTGTTATTCATTGCTCCATACTCCAGGCTAGTGGACCTGGGAGCTTCTAGTAATGGTCCTGTGTCTACCTTTTATATGATGGTAAGGGCAGAAGATACTTTGAATGAAAGTAGATTGATTCTCAGTGATCAACCACTTTCATCAGGGTGATATCAAGGGCCCACTGTAGGACTTAATGAATGTAAGATTAGGGAGAGACTTTCATCAATGTAATATCAGTGGAATAGTGTAGGACTTAAGGAAACTCAGATTCATGAGAGAGCTGAGCTTACTCTTTGGGTACAGGATCACTATGCCTTCTATCCTCCATTATAGCATAAAAGCTAAAACCAATATCATTTCTTTGAGGTATGAATTGTGAAATGTTAATTCTTACCTGGAAAATATCCATACATACATATAGTAACTATTTTCTAGGTAACAATGATATATTATTCTCTTGCCTATATAAATTATGTTTATCCCAAATAATTATTAAACTTTACATCTCATCCTTCCATGTGTTCACCAAAGTACCTAATAGAGTATGTTATATCAACCACTAAAATACTAAAAGAAAAATTGATGCATACAAAGGAAACTAAAATAGCTCACTTGGTTTAATATCTCCTAACATTAACTAACCTGAATCAAATATCAACTTGGGTGATTTACCTAAAATAATTTGTTATCATTACCTCCCATGGTTATCAAACGAAAGTTCCCCAGTGCTACATGAAGAGGAAAATAAGAGATTTCTTGACATTGAAGACTCAGTGAAAATTAATTGCATTTGCTCAAAATGAACTCAGTACTCAGTGGAAATGAGGTCATAATCCCTTGTGATTTGAGTTCACAATGGAATCTAGAGACTCAGAGGGACTTCTATTCAGTGACAGACAATGGCAGTAGAAGCAGCTTTGCAGGTATAAAATCATCATAACTTTGGACTTGTTACTTTGAAATGAATTCTTATTTAAAGAGGTAAGATTTTGACTTTGTTGGTAAATGGAAATATTTTATTCTTTGGAAATGCATTGTATCTATGAACTGTGATAGAGAAACAAGTCAGATAGAGTCAGGCAATCATGTAACAGAAGGGAAATAAACAAACTTAGGGAATCATGTTGTATTTCCACAAATAAATTATCAAGAATTATTAGACATGAAGCTAAATTTTCTTACTGAAAATAGAGTTTTCTTTCCCAATCATAGTTTACCCTCCCTCTACTACTCTCATATATCCCCCAGTTTTCAAAGATTCCTTATTCCATTAGTAAGACGAGAAATCAACATTAACTTCAAAGGTGTCCACATGTGGTATTCAGCCAAATGATTAAAAGTTTACTAGGTTTCAAATGCTTTGGTGGCTTATGTCAGTGACTACAGTGTGTGAGGACCTGCTTTGCATAGGGACTGAGGGCTGCAGCATCACAGGCATCATTGTGAACAAATGAGGACATGAATATAGAATGTGAGGAATGAGAGTCAATCAACACCTTTGCTGGGGGAACCTTGATAAACCTCTTAACTTCTTAGTTTGAGTATTTATCGATCCATGTCCTCTGTTGAAAATTACCTGAATTTACTCCATCACAATCCATCTGTGACGTTGGGGATGTATTTAGTGTGTTTCCATAAAAAATTAATAATATTTTCGAGGTATTTTAAAGACAGATGATCTATTTAGAATCACTTAAAATATTTAATGAGATTAACACCAGGAAGTTCCATTTATAAATTTAGTGTGATCTCTGTTCTATTTCTTCTCAGATCTAACAAAATCTATCATCTTTTAAACAGCTGATCAAGATATTACCTTTCTTACATAAATGACAGACTGTGATCAATGTCATGAACATAGAACCTCTCTATTATTAACAATTGGAAAGCTGAATTATCCTGCTCTCTGTCGTATGTATCCTCAACTACATTGCTACCCTTTATAATGTCTTGTGTTCATATTTAATTCTTTTTTTAAAGAGAAATTATTTTAACTTTGTGTGTGTGTGTGTGTTTCATATATATATTGTGCATGCCTGCTGCTTGTAAATACCACAGGAGATAAGTGGTTGCCTAGAACTGGAAAAACAGAGTGTCTTGAGAAACTGTGTGAGTGAGTGTTGGAGATTAAATCTGGGTTTTCTGAAAGTCTAGCAAATGCTCTTAACCATTGAACCATCTCCTAGTCCTATGATTCTATTACTTCTCATATTTGTTATTAACATATAACTATTTTCTTCTGCAAAATGAAAATGATAAAATAAGCCAATGGGTTGTAGACACAAAAATAGATAAAATATTAATAGTTGACACATATTTAAGTCTACATTAAATACTACAATGATTTTACCTTTTAACTCTTCGTGGCATTTGAAATGAATATACTGTTGTTAAGACTCTATATATTCATATTTTTATTTGTGTGACCAGAATAGGGCAGAAAATATAACGTATGTGTGGATACCAAAGGACAAAATTCAGGAGTTGGTTCTTTCCTTCCACCATGTTAGCTCCAGAAATCACACTTTGGATGTGAGGTTTCAGGGTTAGTGGAAAGAAACTTTAGCTGAAAAGTCATCTCACCAGGCAAAATATCATAATTTTAAGTTGTTAGTTTAATGACAAATAAGTATGCTTTTATTATAAGCGAATATAAATGATAATTATATACTATTGATAACATATTTCTAGCATTTCTGCTTAAACAATTTTGAAGGCCTTATTTCACACAAACATGTGTGAACTGCACCTGGGGTAGCAAAGAAAAGCCTTCTCAGATCAGTGAGGAATTTAGGAAATATTTTTCTCTATCTTTGGGCTAGACTTTTCTATCTGAGGGGTAAATAAGGAAACACATGCTAGCTGATGGTAACTTAAATAAAAATGAACAAGCACACACTTTCCTGATGGTAACCTTCCCTTTGACTTCAACTTAATCTCTTTCTTGACAATCTCTCTACACGGTTGCATTTCTTTACATACGCTTACATTTCTCTCTTTGCATACATATATATCCCTCCTGCACATGTCTTTCACATAGTTACATCTCTTTCCCATTACATCTACCTTTCATGCAGTCGCACATCTCTATACACAGTTATGCCTATTCTCTCAGTTAAATTCTCCACACAGCTACAGACTTTCACACTTCTTCTTCCTCTTTACACAGTTGTAACTTCCTCATCTCTCCTACTCCTCCCTTGCACTTCTCTCTGCACATTCAGCTACACACACACACACACACACACACACACACACACACACACACTTCTCTAACATTTCTCTCCTAATTCCCCCTACACCTTTCCTGCTGCTTCTCACAGCCAAATCCTCTGAACAAAAATAAATCACAACTTTCAGGGTCACACAGCTCTTCTTGAATAAACAATAATAAACAGAGCCAAGGTGATCACACAGTTTCTCTCAGGCAAGGGAGTAAAGTAAGCATGAAACTGAATATTCAGGGTTCCCAAACAAAAAGCAACATTGAAATTCAGGAGTTAAACAACAAGCAGTTAGTTGGATGAATCTTGAGGTTGGGAAGTACTGCAGAAAGTTTGTTGCTTGAGAAAGTTATGTCTACTAAAGTTGCTTCATGTTCTGACCTTGAATCAGCAATAAACACCTGTGAAATTAATCTCATGTATATGTCTCTAGGGGAAACCAGGTATTTGTCTCCACGACAACCTATTTGCTTTGAAATTACTCTGAAGTCTAAAATTATCTGTCTTTGTGACTGAGAATACTATTACTTTGTATGCCAGTCTGAGTAATGAAAAATATCCTATTATTTCTATTCATCAGAATTATATAGTTTAAGCAGGAATCATATGCCTGACCATCTCCTGCTATATGTGTGCCCAGTAGATGGAAGATATATATGATATAAATACACAAGCAGTGGAAGTAATACCCATAGTTGTTTTTAGTAGCACATGAGAAAAATTACATAGACAGTCAGTGACCAAATGGTGTTTTCCAAGTGTGTTCCTCATCAGAGAATCACTCATCTAGTAGGTTGGCCTGTTGAATACTAGTTGTCACCTGCTGTATACTCCCACAGTCTCCGGCATATATAAACAATGAAAACCCTAAATAAAATGTCTATTGTTAGTTCTAGTTTTTGAATACTATATTAGTTGGTAATGCTCTCCATGTATGAATTAAATTAAATGGAATGACCTGTTTATAAATCCCTTCTGTAATGTCTCCACCAAAGCCTTGATCTGGCAGCAGCTGCACAGTGCCATGGCTTTCCTGGAGGATGGGAACCACACTGCAGTGACAGAGTTCATTTTATTGGGATTGACAGATGACCCGGTTCTCAGAGTCGTCCTCTTCATTATCATCCTGTGCATCTACCTGGTGACTGTGTCTGGGAACCTCAGCACCATCCTTCTCATCAGAGTCTCTTCCCAGCTCCATCATCCCATGTACTTTTTTCTCAGTCACTTGGCTTCTGTTGACATAGGCATGTCATCTTCTGTCACACCCAATATGCTTGTCAATTTCCTGGCTAGTCAAAGCACCATCTCCTACCTTGGATGTGGCATCCAACTCAGCTCAGCTGATTTCTTTGGGTCAGTCGAATGTTTCATTCTGGCTGCCATGGCTTATGATCGATTCATAGCAATCTGCAACCCACTGCTATATTCAGTCAAATTGTCCGCACAGGTCTGTGTCCTTTTGGTCATGGGATCTTATGTAGGGGGATTTCTTAATGCTTTCTTTGCTATAGTTTACTTTTTCTCTTTTATTTTTTGTGGACCAAATAGAATCAATCACTTTTTCTGTGATCTTGCTCCTGTGATGGAACTCTCTTGTTCTGATGTCACTGTCTTTGTAGTTGTTACCTCATTTTCAGCTGGCTCAGTTATTATGATCACCGTGTTTGTCATAACGATCTCTTATTCCTATATCCTCATCACTATCCTGAAGATGCATTCCACTGAGGGTCGCCAGAAGGCCTTCTCCACCTGCACCTCCCACCTCACTGCAGTCACTCTCTACTATGGCACCATCACATTCATTTATGTGATGCCCAAGTCCAGCTACTCCACAAACCAAAATAAGGTGGTCTCTTTGTTCTATATGGTGGTGATCCCCATGTTAAACCCACTCATCTACAGCCTGAGGAATAAGGAGATGAAGGATGCACTGAAGAGACAGCTTGGTAAGAAAATATTTCAATAAAAAATGGAAATCATGCAAGACAATGTGACTATTGTCTCAGGTTAAGTTATTTGCCTTCTCATTCCTCATTTTCCCCTCATCTCCTTTCCTCGCATTACATATTTTCATTTAACTTTATTGTATGTCTCTTTCTGTGTGTTTTTTAAAATGTGTTTTTGATAATGTTATACAATGTAATTAGATCATGTTCATCCTCTCTCCACAACTTTTTTCAGTTATTTACCTCCTTTTCTTACACACCCAACACCATTTTTCTGTCAAATAATACTTGTGCTTCCTGTATACACTCTGTTGTATAGGTATCCACTGAAACATGGTTATCCTACCAAAGACCAAACCCTTAAAGAAAATTGGCTCTCCTTCTCCTGGAAGATATCAATTGCCAGTAACTTTTCAGCTATGGATGGACTTTACCTCACCTCCCATTTCCATACTGTGATTTTGTCCTGTTGATCTTATACATGCTGACACAGCTACACCCATTGTGTTGTGTCTGAAAATAAGGTTTCTTTGCAGCTATCCACCAGCTCTAGCTCTTAAATTCTTCCACCCACTTTTTCAAATTCCTGAGCTTGAAGAGAAAGAAGAATAATAATGATGTCCTATGTAGTGCTGAGAATTCCACAGTCTCTACTTCTCTGCATGTTGGCAAGTTGTATACTAATTATCAACTACTACAAAAAAAGCTTCTTTGATGAGGACTTGGAAGTTCACTAAACTGTGGGTATAACAGTAAATCATTGCAAATTGGTATAATACTAGGTCCATTTAGCAGTATAATGATAGTAGGTTCTTTGATAGGGCCTCTGACCTGTCTAGCACAGGTTTTGGGATAGATGGTAGTATTAGGTGGGGGTTTCATCTTTAAGAGCTAGCTTTATATCTAGTCAGAAAGTGGTTGGTTGTTTTCATGACATTTGTTTCACTATAACACCAGTCAGTATATCATACCAGGCTGGTGATAATTATGTAGTGTTCACAAGAAGAATTATCTGTACAACACAAATGATACTTACAGGCATGGTTGTATGAGAGTGGCTGCAGGACAGGAAAACTTCCTACAGTATGCCAAGTAATAAAAGACTAGGAACATGCTATCAGGAGAAATATGTACATAGGTCCCAATATACAAGTTGTTAAGATGAAGGAGGGGCTCAGCAGGAAAAGTTAATACCACCAAGCCTGATAATCTGACTTTGAACTTGGGGACCTATACAATTAAAGGAATGAACCAACGTCTATAAGTTGTGCTCTGACTTACACACACACACACACACACACACACACACACACACTAAATGAAGAAGTTAAAGAAGAAAGCAAGACAGAATAGACATATGAGAAAAAGAGATGTAGACCAGAATTAAGAGGAGATGGGATGAAGGGGCCCAGTGAATAAGATGAGCCCCTCTTGCAGATGAGCTTGGCTCAGTTCCCAGAACCTACATTGTAGCTCACAATCATCTACAATTCCAAGTCTAGGAAATTCATCACACTATTTTGAAATTTGCAGGGAATAGGCATGAATATGGTGTACATCCATACATGAAAAGCACTCATACACATAAAAAAGTAAAAATAAATAATTCTTTTTAAAAAAGAAGAAAGAGGATTTTGAAGACAGTTGGTCTATGGGAACTCAAGGAATTTCTCTGCTTTATCCAGGTCTTGAATCTCACAGTGCTATTTCCTAGGATAACAATGGTCATTGTTATCAACAGGTTTTACTGATACATATATTAGACTCTGATTTTCTACTTAACCCTGGAACTTCAACAGGAGAAAAGTGTGGATCAGAAAATCCATTCAACACATCTGGGTTGTGAGAGTAATGGCACACCCTTCTCTTTGATTGATCCCCATTTAACAGTCTCATAATATTTTTCAGTATATAGTTTCCTTATTTTCTAGCATCATTACAGAACTGATTTACATGGCTTCTCTATCCAGAAGATCTAGAGTTTACTTCCTAGTCAGTCTCATGGAATGATAGGTGTTAAAATTATCTAAACATATCTAATCACTTATTACCTTGCATGCAACCTTTCAGTAGTACTGAGATGAATAACTATTCTTTTGCTTGGAATTTGTGGTTTATTAAAACCTATTTCCCATGGACACCTTCTATCACTACATGCCAATTTAATCTTCAACCCAATTCTCTTTCTATACCTTTTTCATTACTGAATGAATATCACAGAATGGTTCTCATTTTTTACAATCTCACACATGCACATAAAAAACTGAGAAAACATCTACCACATTTACCCACCCCACCCCATTCTTAATGCTTTATAAATGTCACTCCCTACACACCCAGATCTTTCCAATCTATTTCTAGTGTGACTTCTCATATCTCCATTGCCCTAATATTGCTTTTATCTATTCATATTGTAAGATTTTGTGTGCTTTATTTTATGCAAAGTGCTATTCTACAATCCTGGTTGAGAAAAATGCACCTACCTCCCCTGGGTCTACTTCTTGTGGCATGTACTACCTTTAAACTTGAGTACCAAAATGTCTCTACACAATGAAGCATATGGGTTTATACAATGTTACAATATTTTGATGATCCAAATCATTATTTTGGGGTTCAAATGATGATTTGGGTATTTTGGTATCCATACAATGTCTGTTGCTTAATAAATGCTCAGTAAACAGTTAAACTGATTTGAACTGTTTTAAAGACTAGCTTAAAAAACTTATGTCTCAGTGATGCCCACGCTGCAGTTTTGAATGGCTTGATTGTGGACAGGTCTTGTGTAAGCATCTAGAGCTGTTGTGAGTCCTGACTTCAGTTGTGCTGTCAGTTAAAGAAGACACTATTTTTGCTGCTGCCCTTTCCCAGACATTGCTTCTAATGTGTCCTGTTAGCTAGATTATTTTATTTTATTTTTCAATATATTTTAAACTCAAATATAATACTTTATTTTGCTTCCTCCCTTTACTCCCTCTAGCCCCTCCCAGCTTAAATCCCTTCAGTCATTCCCATGTTCACTTGCTCTCTTAAGTTGATAGCTACTTTTACTTGATTATAATTGTTGCATACATGTGTATGTATATATATACATATGTATATCTATACACACATACACGCATACACATTCACACACACAAACTTGTAGGACCTGTTTTGTTGTTTGTGTATAAGATATCAGGGTGGACTTTGAACCAAATAACTTAACATAAAAACTGGTACATTGACCCTGACAGAAGAGAAAGTAATGAATAACATTGAACACATTGACACAGGAGAAGACCTTCTGAACAGATCACTATTATTGCAGGCACTGAGATCAACAATTAATGAATGAGAACTCATGAAACTAATGCTTCTGTAAGTCAAAGGAAACCTTTATCGAGGACAGATAAACACAGCCTTACAGAACAGTAAAGGATTTTTACCAACTTCACATCTGATAGAGGACTAAAATACAAAATATATAAAGAAGTTAAGAAACTAGATACCAAAAAATCAAATTTAAAAATGGGGTATATATCTAAACAGTGAATTCTCAATACAGGTAACACTTAAATGGCCAAGAATCAGTTAAAGAAATGTTCAACGTCCTCAGTCATCAAGGAATTGCAAATCAAAACTACATTGGGATTTCATCCAACACCTTTAAGAATGGCTAAGATCAATAACACAGGACCTAGGTCATGCTGTCAAGAATGTGGGATAAGGGGAACATTGATTAGTTGCTGGTAGGAGTGCAAACTTGTACACCACTATGGAAATCAATGTAGCATTTCCACTGGAATATAGGAATTGATATATCTCAGCATCCAACTATACCACTTTTGGGCAAAAGCCTAAAGGATGCTTCATTCTTCTACAGAGATATTTGCTGAAGGATGTTTGGTGCTTCTCTACTCATGATAGCCAGGAACTGGAAACAATGCAGATATCCCTCAACAGAAGAATAGATAAAATAAATGTTATACATTTATACAATGTAATATTACTTAGCTGTTTAAAAACTGAGATCATGAAATTTGCAGTCAAATGGATGGCACTAGAAAGTATCCTGAGTGAGGTTACGCAGACAAAGAAAGATAAATATGATAAGTGATAACCAAGCTGTAATCTGTAGACCCTGAGAAGTTAGGTATAGAGGAAGGTACTAGGGTGGAAACATGTATCTCCATAGCAGGGGAGAATAGGACAGATTCTATGAATGAACTAGATGGGGAAGATTAAATATGGAGTGTGAGGGTAGAGGGACCCGAGGGAGCAAATGCAAGACAAACAAGTAGAATTGAGGGTTGTGTAGAGTTTTCCACTATAAGAATAAATGGGATGTATCTATTTTATAGACACTTCTTTGAAATTCACCATCAGTCTGCCTCTAAAAAGTAAGTGTGAAATTCCTGGATCTTAACATGAATTTTTATTAGTTCAAAAAGAATTGGAAAAAAACAAAATTGCTTTGCTGGTTTTAGCTGTTGACTCTGGTGGAAAGCTTATTTACACAAGAGTTACTGTTCAATGATCAGCCTGGCTAACCTGAACCGTTCTTCCACAGGAGCCCAATGACCTGCGGCAAAACAATTGCTAAGTTTGAGCAGAAGAGTCTATGAAAAGTAAATCAGAGGAAAAAGCCAGATATTTGGTTGGATTAGGCTTACATTTCCATAGTCATTATTTATCTACACAGGTGGCTGGTGGATACAGAGAAAAGACAGGATCACAGTTGTTTTCCTAAGTCAGCCAGCAAGTGTACCAGTCAGAGTTCTCATCTTTCAGTGTCGAAAGGAGAGGCAAAAGGGGCAAGGGGTGTGCATGCATATAAATGGTTTAGTAAGGAACAGGAGAGACCGAGACATCACGTTCTGTGCTTCCTACCTTTCTTTAGATTTGTGTTGACAATCCCCTCATATGTTGATTGAAAAAATGTAATGCATCTCATCAAAATAATGAATAATCAATAGCTCACCAATGTTTAATTATCATTTAAATTTAAAAGCCACTTAGATCTGATGTGTGACTAAATACCGCTGGAAATTGTATAATGTATGTAATTTTATAAAACTTTTTTTCATTTTTTACTCCTTCTTTTATTAAGCATGTATTCTTTTATCATACAATACCTACTGAATACATGCTTCTCTTCCCCCCAGCTCCTTCACATTTAGTTGCCTCTCTAGATACAGCCCCTTTCTGTCTCTCATTAGAAAAGAGCATGTTTCTAAGAGATAACAACAAAACACAGTAATATAAAATACAATATGATAAAACAATGCCATCATGTTGAAGATGAACAAGACAAGCCAACAGAAAAACAAAGGAATCTCAAGAAAAGGCACAAGAGTCAGAGATCCACTTATTAACACATTCATGAGTTCCATAAAAGCACTAAATTGAAAGCTAGAGTATTTATGCAGAGTACATGGTGCAGACCAATGTAGACCCTGTGATTGCTACTAAACATTTCTTTTAATTTCACAACAAAACTACATTATATGCGAAATAGCCTTACTGTACAAGTACAATAACTAAGAGCCAAAAGAAAATAGGGTGATGTGTTCAGCATCGCCCTTGTCTGCCTCAAGCCTCCTGATGCTGTGGTAAACACAGATGGAAAACACTCTTGGAAAATCAGAACAGGTGTGGGATTTCCCCCATTGAACTCTGCTGATGCAGGCAAAGAGCAGGAATAGCCTCATTTGTGAAAACCCAGATGTGTTCAGGGTTTGATGAAGAGAATTTCAAAATCTGGAAAGCATACCAGTGGAATGAACAACAGTGACTGTGGAAGCTTAATTTTTTAAATGGGAAGGAAGAAGAGGCATGAAAGCTCTAGTCAAATATTTAAGGGCATTATATGGAAAATAGATGGTTTGTACAATAATGATTGGATTTAAAACATATTTTTAAAATGATAGAGCTAGCATCAACTACAGTAAGGTGCCTGTTACTGCAGTGACCTGAACACATCTAAGAAAGTGTTGTCAATGAAGAGAAAGAATACATTCTTGAATGGGCTGCAGCTATTGATTCATTTCACTTTACAATTCCCTAACTGAAAACCTCAGCCCAACAATCAGAAGAAATAAAATATTATGCAATCTATTAGAAACATTTGAAACTGTCAAATAATTAATACATTCTCATAATACTTAATATCTGCATTTACTATTTCTGATAGATGCTTGATAAACCTTAAGGACTGCAATAATGCTGTTTGAAGGAAGTTTTGTATGTATGAGTGCTGCAACTAAGGGCCTTGGGTAGAAACTGAGCATTACAGTAACACAGGCATTATGCAGAGGGAGGCTCTAAATTGGGTGTTTCCATTGATCCCTCCCCTTAGAGATTGAAGAACCCTGAAGAAAAGGTGAGGAAGACTGTAGGAATCAGAGGGGATGAAGGACACCAGAAGAATATGGCTCACCAAATCAACTAAGCATGACTCACATTGGCTCACAGTGACTGACATGGCAAGCACATGGCCTGCATGGGTCTGTACGTGAAATGTTATGACTGTTATCATGATTTTGTGGTTCTCCTAACAGTGGGAACAGGTATATCTCTGACTCCTTTGCCTGTACTTGTGACTCTTCATGATTTGGTAGGAGGGCAGGGAAGAGAAAATTAGGCAATTTTATCATAATATCAAAAATTAAAAGAAATAATTTGAAAAAACAGGTGATATACTTAAAAGAAATGGGCCAATTAGAACAGAGATCTGGCAACTAGGTACCCACAGTAGGGTGTGGGTATCAGGAACTTCTTTAGCAGATAAGCCAGGAATTCCTGGTGGAAAGAACGGACGGTTCCATTGTCAGGACAAGTCTATTGCCCGCATGAACTTCAAATCCAGTTGCTGGTTTTAGTAAGACTGATTTCTCTGGTAGATGGATTACCAGTAGAGAGATCCCATTTGTCATTCTCAATGACAGTAGTAGTCAGACACCATCTTAACAGGTAATCTATCATTTAAAATTGGCTTGCTCTTTGGGCCCTGAGAACATGGTACAACCACAAGTTAGGAAGGCTAAGTTTAGCCTTCCACAGCTCTACAGTGAGAGACAGCCCGGGAAGGCAGTTGTGGGAAAAGAAAGAACCAGAAACTGGCAGGCTAAAGAGGACAAGTTTCAGAAGCTTCCTTACATAACTACCCTCAAGCCTGAAGTGTACAGGTAGCTCAATCTCCAGAGTCATCTATCAGACATCCACTTCCCTAAATCCCATGAACACTGAAATGTATCTCTCTATGAGGTTGTTTCACACTTAGGAGATTTTGTAATTTAAAGATATGTCCCTCGTCTCTATAGATCTCAGTCCATTTTTTGCTTCTCACACTTGAGAAGCATCCTTAATTGAAATGTCAGGCTATAATGTTAGGAATCCTAGTTAGTAAAACCTGAAACCTAGAGACTCCGGAGGGTGAAAGTACCTACTCAGACAACAAATTTAAAAACTAAATGTTCCTAGACAAGGCCCCAAGTGCACAGAGAATAAAACTAGTGACATGAGAAAAGCTGTCAAACAACAGGAAATACAGACATCACCAACAGAAACCATGGGAAGATGAGCTCACCCATTTGCCTACATCCCACTGCCACCCGCTTCCAGGGAGCAGGGGCTGCTCCAAAGCTCAGTCTTTTTGCTCTTCTTCACTTGTCCCACCTATTTGATTCACATTTGCGTGTAACTTATGTATACATTAAAAAATTTGGTAACATTTTGTCTTTCCTCATGTTTTTTTAATTTTATCTTTAATTGTATTTTACTTTACCTCGATTTTCAATATTAATTTTAAAAAATCCATCCAATGTATTTTGAATGTGTTCTTTTTTCCAACATATATTTATTTAAATTAGAAACATTCTTGCTTCACATGCCAATCCCCAGCTCCCTCTACCACCCCTCCTCTCTCACCCCTCTACCAGTACCCCAGCCCCCCTAGTCCACCACCCAATCCCCACATCATTCCCCAGGGAGGGTGAAGCCCTACGTGGGGGATCTCCAGAGTCTGTCATTTCATCCAGGGCAAGACCTAGGTTCTCTCCATGTGTCCAGGCTGAGAGAGCATCCCTCCATGTGGAATGGGCTCCCAAAGTTCATCCGTACGCACACCATGGTAAACACTGATCTACTACCCAAGGCCCCAGAAATTGCCGAGGCCTCCTCACTGACACTATATTCAGGGTGTCTGGATCAGTCCCCTGCTGGTCTCTCAGTCATCAGTCTGGGGTCCAAGAGCTCCTTCTTGTCAGGTCAGTACATTTACTCCATTATGCAAATGTACTACATTTTCTCTATCTACTCTTCATTTGTGGGGCATCTAGGGTTCTTCCAGGATCTGGCTATTACAAATAATGCTACTATGAACATAGGGAAACAGGCATCCTTGTTGTATGAATGGGCATCTTTTGGGTATATGTCTAAGAGTGGAATTGCTGGGTCTTGTGGTAGACTGAGTCCCATTTTCCTGAGGAATCTCCATACTGATTTCCAAATGATTGTATGAGCTGGCACTCCCACCAGCAGTGGAGGACTGTTCCCCTTTCTCCACATCCTCTCCAGCATAATCTGTCATTGGCATTTTTGATTTTAGCCATTCTGACAGGAGTAAGATGATATCTCAGAGTTGTTTTGATTTGCATTTCCCTTATGGCTAAGGATGTTGAGCACTTTCTTGAGTGTCTCTCAGTCATTTTAGACTCCTCTATTGTTAATTCTCTACTTAGTTCTGTACCCAACTTTTAATTGGATCCGTTGGTGTTTTGGAGACTTGTTTCTTGAGTTCTTTGTAAATTTTGGAGATCGGCCCTCTGTCAGATGTGGGGTTAGTAAATATCTTTTCCCATTTTGTGGGCTGCCTTTTTGTCTTGCTGACTGTGTCCTTTGCCTTACAGAAGCTTCTAAGTTTCAGGAGGCCCCCTTTTATTAATTGTCGGTCTCAGTGTCTTCAGATAGATCCATGTTTATTGCGATGCCCAAAACTTAAGTTCAAATAGATCAAAGACCTCAACATAAATCCAGCCACACTGAACCTCTTAGAAAAGAAAGTGGGAGGTACACTTGATTGAATTGGTACAGGAAACTGCTTCCTGAACATAACACCAGTAGCACAGACACTGAGATTGATTATTTTCTTTTACCAACTCCTCTCAGATCCTCTCCACCTCCAAAATCACCCATTTTCTTGTCCTCTGTTTCTGTCTAAAAACAAATCAAATCCAGCAAAAAATAGAAAAGCAACATAAGAATCATACAGTCTTTTTCTTGTTGGTTTTCTTGTTGGTTGGCATGGAGATTGCCCTGAAGTGTGGTTGACATATCTAGTGCCACCCCACTGGAGAAAACTGATTTGCCATTCCCCACAAAGAATCAACTACAAGAGAAGGAAAACTGTTAGCTGTTACTGTCTGTACCTCAGCAGTAAGGACAACTAGCAAGCAATTGTCACTGTAGAGAAAGCCTATGTTGATAAAAATGTGACATGTGGTATATAACCCTTGTTGAGTTCCTGGTCTGCTTGTTAAAATTCCACTGAAATTCATCATGACTGAGAAAATTACAGGTACTTGTGTTCATATAAATATGTCAACCTTTAGTTACTTTTTTTGCACTGACACAAAAAAATGATGTAAAGTTTTACAATTTTCTAAAAATCATTCCAATTGTATTCCTCCCCTTTTTCCTTCCAGATAAATTCATCAATAAAGGTCATCTCTCTGTCCTGAAATACATAAGGAACACATTAAGGTGAAGACCTGAAAGTATGCTGCTCAAAATATGGCTTGTTATTGCACAGGCAATTCATACATGATTTTTTTAAGATTCTCTGCTACATATAAAAAGTAACAAGCTTTAAACACAGTCTCTCTCTTTCTCTCTCTCTCTCTCACACACACACATACACACACACATACATACATACATATATCTATCTATTTCTATATATACATATATATATATGACGTGCATACAGAAATAGTATCATCTAGGAAGATTAAATGGATTTTAACCTTAATGGAATCAAGATTAGCAAGAGCTGAGCTAATCTGTCAAGGCAACTGTGGTTTTTGTTCAATATTATGTCACATAAGGTGACAAAAACTGTCACTTGTTTGGAGTATGAATTGTGACATGGTTATTCTTACCTGGAAATCATTCATACCTCTTTCTAATCACTGTTTTCTATTTTAAAAATATTTTATACTCTTGCCTATAAAAATGTGTATACCTCAAAGAATTGTTATTCTACATAACATCTCATCCCTCCCTACAGTCACAAAAGTACTTAGTAGGGTATGTAACATCAACCAATAAAATATAAAAAGAAAAATTGATGCACATTGAATTAAAGAAACCAAAATAGTCCATTTTAATGATTGGTTTAGTATCTTCTAACTTGACCAAAACTGAAAGAATTATCAACTAATACAAATACTCTCTAAGATAATTTGTTATCATTAGCTCCCATTATTGTCAAGTGAAAGGGCACCAGTACTCATGGAAAGTGGAAAACACGAGGTCACTTGAGGTTGACAGACTACTTGAAAATTAATTGTGTTTGTAAGAAATGAACTGCTCAGCACTCACTGGGAATGAGGTAATGATTACTGGTGATTTGAATTCACACTGGAATCCAGACCCTCACTGGGGACTTATCCTCAGTGACAACAACAGTGTAGATAATTTTGCAGTTATAAAATCATAATAGCATTGAACTTCTTACTTTGAAATGAATTCGTATAACAAGGGGTAAGTTTGTGACTTTGTTGGAAAATGGTGATACTTTAATATTTAAATGTACTATATCTATGAACTATGGTGAAGAAATAATTCAGATGAAATCAAGCAATTATGGGAACAGACTGAAAAAACCTAAACTTTCTTAGAATCACCTTATATTGCCATAAGTAAATTATTCAGTCTCTACCAACTGGTGAGACAGAAATCAGCATGAATTTCATATATGTACACATGTAACATTCAGTCGAATTTAAATGCTTTGGTGACAAATATCATTTGCAAAGACCCATTTGTTTGTAGACTGAATGTTCCAGTATCATAGGCATCACTGTGGACAAATGAGGATGTAACTATACAATATGAGGGATGGAAATCAATCTGTCCCTTATTGGGTAAGCTTTGGTAAAGGTCTTAACTTCTTAGTATTAATGTTTATTGACGAGTGTCCTGTGTTAAAAACATGACATTATTTACCACATTCCAGTTAGAAGATACTGTGACATTGGAAAGAGGTTTGCTGTACCTAGACAAAATGATAATAATAATAATGTGTTAAATATTATTCATATTTTACATGATGGTAAAATTGATATTTCAAATTATTTTAAAGGGCAATGCTCTGTTTAGAAGTACTTAATAAAGTATTTCAGGAATTAAAGACAGGAAGTTTCATTTGTAAATTTAGTGTGATTTTTATTTAGTTTTACAGACTTTGGGATCTATGTTATCAACAAAACACCTTTCTATGTACTAACCATAAGAAAGCTGAAGTGACTGATCATTTTTTTGGTTCACAAGCCTGATAATTTGGGATCCACGAAAATAAATTACATGTGCCACTTATTAAACTTTGCTAGGCCTTGGGCATATTATCCATCTGACACGAGCAATAAGAAAAAAAGGAGAAAAAGAGAAAAGAAAATTAAAATGCTATCAGTTTATCTATAATTTGTGTATGCTCTGAAGGGAACTGCCACCTTTATTTAGACTCTGGCTACTAAAATTAACAGATTGAGTTCAACCTGCCTGGTTTTCATATCTAATAGTCTTTTAAAACATGTTATTTTTATTTTGTGTATATGCGTGCTGCCTGCCTATAGATATATATGCCATGTGTGTGCCTCATGCCTGTGAGGACCAGAAGAGGCATTGGGTCTTCAGAGCTATAAAAACATACTGCTGTGAGAAACCCAGGTCATCTGCAAGTGTAGCCAGTGCAATTAGACACAGAGACGTCTCTTGAGCACCATAATTCTGTTACTTCATATATTTAATTTAAAAACCATACATATATATGTGTGTGTGTTTCTCCTGTAAAATGGAAATCATAAAAGAACTTAATTCTACTTCATGAAAATAAAAATAGAAATGCACATATATTTTTAAAAGTCATCTGCTGGTGATTTAGTAAGTTTTAGATAAATTTAGCAATGATCTAAGGTTTCATTATATAATCCTATGATTTTACTTTTTAATCCTTTGTTACACTTATAATAAATGAATTGATATTTGAAAAAGACTTATTATTTTTTTCAGATATTTTAATTTAAATTAGAAACAAGCTTGGTTTACATGTTAATACCAATTCCCTCTCCTTCCCCTCCTCTCCTGCCCCAGACCAATTCCTTATCGCATTCCCTTCCTGTTACCCTGGGAGGGTGAGGCCTTCCATGGGGGAATCTTCAAAGTCTGTCATATCATTTTGAGCAGGGCCTAGCTAGGCTTTTACTCATGTGTCTAGGCTGAGAGAGTATCCCTCTATGTGGAATGGGCCCCCAAAGTCCATTCCTATACTAGGGATGAATATTGATCTACTGCCAGAGGCTCCATAGATTACCCAGGGACTCCTGAAATCCACATTCAGGGGGTCTGGGTCAGTCTTTTGCTTGTTTCCCAGCTATCAGTCTGGAGTCCATGAGCTCCCCCTTGTTCAGGTCAGCTGTCTCTGTGGGTTTCTCCAGCCTGGTCTTGACCCCTTTGCTGATCACTCTTCCCTCTCTGCAACTGGATTCCAGGAATTCTTTTCAGTGTTTAGTGGTGGGTTCCTGATTCTGCTTCCATCAGCTACTGGAAGAATGCTCTAGGATGTCATATAAGGTATTCATTAATCTCATTATCAGGTAAGGACACTTAATGTAGCCTCTCCACTATTGTTAAGATTGTTAGTTGGTATCATCCCTGTAGATCTCTGGAAATTTCCCTAGTGCCAGATATCTCTTTAAACCTATAATGGTTCCCTCTATTATGGAATCTCTTTTCTTTCTCTCTTCTATTCTTCACCTGACTCAACATTCCTGCTCTCTCATGTCCTCCTCTCCCCTACTCTTCTCCCCTTCTCTATCTCCTAACTCCATCTCCAAGGTTTATTATTTTACATTAATTTATCTATTTGAGTGAAGGGAATATTACAGGCAACATAGCATAGGTGTGGCTGTCAAAGAATAACATGTAAGATTTAGTTTTCTCTTCCCACCATGAGAATTCCAGGAAACAAACTCTGACCATCATGTGTCAGGCTTGGTGATAAGAACATTTACCTGCCAAGCAACCTCATCAGGCTATCTCATGATTTTAAATCTTTACATTTAATTACAATTAGGAATATTTTACTATAAAGACAAATAAAAGTTATTTGTTATTTATACTACATCTCTAGTATTTTTGTTTAATTCTTTGAGGTACTTACTGCACAGAAACGTGAAATCAATGAAATCCCTGATTAAAATATCCATCATTGGTCCTAGTTTTTGAATAATATATTAATTTGCATTTCTATCCATGTCTGCATTAAATGAAATGGAGTGACCTATTTATAAATCTCTTCCTGTAATCTCTATCACAGACTTGTTTTGGGAAGGGCTACATCATCCCATGGCTTTCCTGGAGGATGGGAACCACACTGCAGTGACAGAGTTCATTTTATTGGGATTGACAGATGACCCAGTCCTGAGAATCGTCCTCTTCATTATCATCCTGTGCATCTACCTGGTGACTGTGTCTGGGAACCTCAGCACCATGCTTCTCATCATAGTCTCTTCCCAGCTTCATCACCCCATGTACTTTTTCCTCAGTCATTTGGCTTCTGTTGACATAGGCATCTCATCTTCTGTCACACCTAATATGCTTGCCACTTTCCTGGCAAGTCAAAATACGATCTCCTACCTTGGATGTGGAATCCAGCTCAGCTCAGCTGCTTTCTTTGGAACAGCTGAATGCTTCCTTCTAGCTGCCATGTCTTATGATCGCTTTATGGCAATTTGCAACCCACTGCTTTATTCAACCAAAATGTCTGCACAAGTCTGTGCCCAGTTGATTGTAGGATCTTATATAGGAGGATTTCTTAATGCTTCCTTTGGAACTCTTTTCTTTTTTTCTTTTCTTTTCTGTGGACCAAATATAGTCAATCACTTTTTCTGTGATTTTGTTCCTTTGATGGAACTCTCTTGTTCTGATGTCAGTGTTTCTGGAGGTGTTATCTCATTTTCTGTTGGCTCAGTCACTATGACCACACTGTTTGTCATATTCATATCCTATATCTATATCCTCATCACCATCCTGCAGATGCGCTCCTCTGAAGGCCGCAAAAAGGCCTTCTCCACCTGCACCTCCCACCTCACTGCCGTCACTCTCTACTATGGCACCATCACATTCATATATGTGATGCCCAAGTCCAGATACTCCACAGACCAGAACAAGGTAGTGTCTATGTTCTACATGGTGGTGATCCCCATGTTGAACCCACTCATCTACAGCCTCAGGAATAATGAGATTAAGGGTGCTCTAAATAGACAGCTTGGTAAGAAATTATTTTCATAGGGTAACTAGTTCTGTAAAACTTAATATAGTAATGGCAATCATCAAGACCTATGTGACCATCATCTCAAGTTTGGTTCTTAGATTTCTTGTTACTCTTTTTGTTCTAATCTCTCTCCTTTTTAAGATAATAATTTTTATTTAACTTTTTACACATGTTTATCTCAGTTCCCTCACCCTCCCCTCCTCTCCCGGCCCCCCATTCTTCCCAATCTCCCATGCCACTCCATCTCTCCTCTGCTCCCCAAGGGAGGGTAAGGCCTTACATGAGGTATTTTCAGAGTCTGTCATATAATCCTGGGCAGGGCCTAGGTACTCCCCCATGTGTCCATGCTGTGGATCATCTCTCCATGTGGAATGGGCTCCAAGAGTCCATTTGTATGCCAGGAATAAATACTGATCTACTCTCCAAGGTCTCATAAATTGCTGAGACCTCTTCTCTTACACCCAGTTTGGGGGAGTAGTGGTCTGGATCAGTCCCATGCTGGTCTCTCAGTCATCAGTCTGGGATCCATGCATTCCCCCTTGTTTAGGTCAGCTGCCTCTGTGGGTTTCGCCAGCCTGGTCTTGATTCCTTTGCTCATCTTTGCAACTGGGTTCCAGGAGTTCAGTTCTGTTTTTAGCTGTGGGTATTCACTTCTGCTTCCTCCAGCCATTGGATGAGGGTTCCAAGATGGCATATAAGGTAGTCATCAATTTCATTATCAGGGGAGGGCATTTAAGGTAGCCTTAATGCCAATTGGTGTCATTTTTTAGATCTGTGAAGATCTCACTAATGCCATATCTCTCTTCCAACTTATAATGTCTCCCTTTATTATGGTATTTCTTCCATATATAAATATATATAGCTAGGGTATTTTATGCATTTCTCTATAATATTAAATGTGTCTTTCAGAATCTTATATGATGTATTTTGATCACATTCACATCCTCCCCACAACTTCTCTCCGTTCAGTCCTATAGCTCCATCTCCTACCCATGCAACACTATGTCAATATCTCCATGGCTAGTCTCCTGGGGCTACACTCTTAAAGATAATTGATGCTCCTCCTCTTGCAGATATCAATTGACAATTATACCTCAGCTAAGGCTGCACTTCATCTCCAGTTCTCTCCTTGATGGGATTTTGTCTGGTTTGATCTTGTAGATGCTTACATCTACCACAAGTTCATATCTACAACCATTTTGTTGTGTCCTGAAAACAATATTTCTTTGTAGTCATCCAACACCTCAGTTTTTACGATCTGTCCTCCTGCTCTTTCACAATGATTCTGAGCTGGGAGAGAAGAGGTTGTGATAAAATGTCCTGTTTAGAGATGACAATTCCACAGACTCTAATTCTCTGGACATTGTCAAGTTGTGTGTTATTCTCCATCTACAGCAAAAAGAAGCTGTTTTAATAAAGGCTGGGAGATGAACTAATCTATGGGTATAATTATAATCCATTGCAAATTGGCTTGATACTGTTACTTTTAAGAAAGATAATGGTGACAGGTTATTCCCAAGGGCCTACAACCTGTCTAGCTTAGGTTTTGGTCCTGATAGTGTCAGTGTGTAATGACACCCATGACATTTGTGCCACTATAACACCAGTAGGCATGTCTTGTCATGCAGGTGGTTACTTTAGCTTGAAAGTTTCAAAAGACAACACATATAATGTTTATAAATATGGCCATATTAGGTTGTTGCTATTTACACATTTAATTCCTTCCATTCACTTCAGAATAAAATTCAGACACTTTTGTATCTTCCCTAATTCTCCCCTTGAATTACCCTGACTTGTATTTTATTTCTAGAGATTATTCAGATCAGTGTACTTGCTATTTGGCAGATTTTTGTCCACTTTTCATACTTATAAGCCCTTCTAAGTTTCCTGCTCAAATATAATTTGCCCATGGAAATTTCATTGCTATCCTGCCTAAGCTAAAAGCACCCACCCATTACCACTCATAACATTTCCATTTATTCCATTGATTGCAGAAAATTCCCTTTTCCAAGTCTGGCATTCAGATAAAAGCCAGTATTCCTTTGGGAACTTAAAAAGTTAGTTCCTACTTGCTAAAATGTGTT